TCCTGCATCACAGGTCACAGGGTAACACCCCAGCTCCGGCCAGCGTCATTCTGGCATTGAGCAGCCACAGGTCCCTGAGTATAACAGCATCAAAAACCATCTGAGAAAAGTTGCTAGGGATCCCGAGAACCCAAAAGCATTCTTAAGACCCCCGAACAGCCATCTGTAAAAAGAAAAAAAGAAGGGGGGGGAGATCAAAACTGAATACCAACCATCCTAAAGTCCCCCCCTCAACAAAGGAGCCGTCGGTCTCGACTTTCGGTCCTCGAACCAGAGCACACTAGGTCTCATACCCCCTTTTGCATGGGTAACAGGGCACCGCAACCTTCCCAGTACCGACCAACCTAGTTCTGTCGGATAGGAAGTGCCTTCCTCCCTCGGCAATTCCCATAGCGACAAACCCCTACACAGGTTACAGGGTCAGAACCCCGGCGCCGCTTGTGTTGGACGATCTGGTTATGCCTTCCACCCTCGGCATAATTCCATGGGCCTCAAGCTCCCCCCTGGGTCACAGAGCGAAGCTCCGGCACCGGCCCATGTTATCCCAGCCTCGTTCTCCTAACCTACTGACCTTCCCCGACATCCATCCTCTAATTGAGGGCCACCTTTCCTCCGCCCATCCTCCCCTTTTTAATTCCCCCCTCCTTCCTTGATCAAAATCAAAATTATTTGAGTTTATAGAACTTCTATAGGACTTTATGTGAAGAATCTTTTCAGAAATTTCTTAGAAGCTTTTATAGGAAATTATTTCGTTTCTAGAACTTCTATAGGAATTTATTTGAAGAATCTTTTCAGAAATTTCTTTGAAGCTTTTATAGGAAAATATTTCGAAAATATTTTTAGAATTTTTTGTAGGAAAATATTTCGAGAAGTAGAAGTTTTTTGAAGCTTTTATTCGAAAAATATTTCGAGTTTGTAGAATCAGAAGTTTCTTAGAAGCTTTTATAGGATATTATTTCGAGAATATTTTTAAAAGCTTTTATAGGAAAAAAATTCGAGAATCAGAAGTTTTTTTTCGGAAGCTTTTATAGGAATTCCAATACGAGGTTTGAAGTCTAAACCGAGCATGTCGATCATCAGGAAAATTCCAATTGATCAGCAGAAAGAAAACGAATCAGGAAATCATAAACTGAGAAATTCATAAGAGCACCCAATGAACAATAGAAAGAAATCGAATCAAGAAATCGTGAACTGAGATCTTCTGATTATCCCCCCTTATAGAATCAATCATTAGTACACGTGAATTAGGAATCATGGTTATGAGCAGGGGGAAGCTGCCCTCCTTCCTTTCTTGCAGCCATGTGACTTCGTAAAAAATCCCGTAAGAAGAAAAAACCCTCTGTCTCCCCTTCATCCACCCTCACTCAAACCCAACCCCTTCACCTTCGGAGGGAAGAACAAACTCCCTCCATCTACCTGCCCTACCGGCCTCAAGGGCCTGCCATAACACCAACACAGGCAAACGAAGGTACCAATCGGCCATCCCCCTAAACTTCTCCAACATCGGGATGGTGGGGCAACATCTCGTTGAGCCTGCCAACGAGCTACCCCAGGGAGTTCAAGCTTACCGCAGAGACTTGAGTCCACCGCTTCGCAGGGCAGATGAAAGTAGACAGAGGAGACCATGCATCCTGTGCCGTCATCTCCAGCCGCTCTCCTTGTGGCGCCTTAATCAGCAAACACGTGTAGAAAGGGAAAGAAAGGATGTCGAAAGGAGAAGGGTCCACACGCTCGAATTCCATGGCGCGCCCTAAAACTTCGATATCTCGTGATCTGCTGGACCTTTCGGTCTGAAATTTGGACCACCTCAGCTCCACAGCGTAGACCACCGGTGGTCCAAGTTTCAGCTCGGGGCGCGCGCCCAATCGCGCGCAATCCTCGAGCGCGCGCGCGCTATTTCCCTTGCTGCATGCTGTTATCCGACGCTCGTGGCTCCTCTCCGTGGTGTCCTTGATTGATGCTGTCGGGGCGCAGCGCTCCCAGTAGCGCTGCGCCCCGCCAAGTCGAGTGGTCTTTTCGCAGCGGTTACAATTGGAATGATACAGAGAAAGAAGATGCCCCCCCCTGGTTGGTCATGAAGGTGCATGTTCCTTCCGGGCCTTGCTGGGGGCTAGAGATAGCATGCGTACTACTCCCCACCCACAGTAGAGTAGGTAAGCTTAGCCCCAGGGGATAGGTTCAACTCATAACTCGTAGTGCAGCTTAGCGTCAGCTGTTAGATATTAGGGCTTAGTGTAGCTGTTACCTGCATTCCTCCTTTACTATCGAGTGCGAAGCGGTGCCCCATCCTGGTCAGGTTGTCGTGCCCCTTGCAGGTCCGGTTGGCGGATAAACCGGTTCGAGTACACGGCTGATGGTGGGTAGTGTGAGATGAAAAATGAGAGAAGAGAACAGTGTAACGAACACAGCTGTCCGCCATATGAGGAGGAGAAAGCTTTCCAAGTAATAATAATAATAATAATTCCTATACTCTTGACGGAAAGCACAGGTCTCGCGTGAGACCTGACGCTTCCCACGTGAGACCCCGCTCCCATTTGGACCCAGGTCAACTCGGGCCAAGCCTCTTTTTCTCGGCGACCAACTTTTATTTCCAGTTCGGGAGTGACTGTCCGAACATCATTTTCCGCGGTTCCTTTTATCACGCCTGACTATTGTTTGGAGTCTGGCGGTGAGTGCTCAAATATCATTTTTCCGCGATTTTGTTTTAGACTCTGGTGGCGACTGTTCGGGCCGAGGTTGGTTCGGGCCTGGGTGAACGGAGTTGGGAAGCGTGATTGTGCAACAGTCGTGTGGAACACTCGGGCAGAAGGCCGTTGTTGGCGCAGTTCAAAGAACGAGGTCTATTTTGGCCGTGGGTTTGTGGACTTAATCCCCAAGTGTGGCAGTGTATATTTCCATGCTCTAGTGGACAATTCATTCAATTTTGCTCATCCTATCCATGGAAATAGCTGCGAGGTTGGAAACTTACCTGCTCTCTCTCTCTCTCTCTCTCTCTCTCTCTCTCTCTCTCTCTCTCTCTCTCCTGTCTCTTATACACATCTAGATGTGTATAAGAGACAGGCCGGGCACCCGGGCATGTATCCGGGCATAAGTNTCTCTCTCTCTCTCTCTCTCTCTCTCTCTCTCTCTCTCTCTCTCTCTCTCTCTCTCTCTCTCTCTCTCTCTCTCTCTCTCTCTCTCTCTGGCGCGCGCACGCGCATGCGCATGCGCCGCGACATTTGCATCTGACAGCTCCTTAGTCCATACACCGGGATTTCTTTTCAATGTATTTGTCCGTCGCGGTGTATCTTCCTATGTTCTTGCGGAAGATTCCTTCTCATTTTGCACATTGGCAGGCTGCTCAGTTGATGCACACATGAAACTGTTGAATTGCAGACGTGAATTCCAATCTAGCGGCAACCACAATAAAATAGTTCTGGTTTACAAAGGATCCGACGACATCGTGATGCCTTGGCCAATGCCCCCCCGAATGCTGCCCCTCCCTCATGTTCTAAAAAATAATTGTCAGGAACAAGCCTTCAAGGGGCCCTATCAGACATCACATTGTTTTGGGCTAAGGCCCCCAGCAAGCCAAGTGCCCGCCCTAAGTGAAGGCGGGCCTGAATATTCGTCAAAGGCAAAATTCGACATTTCCATATATGGGTATTCAGGCTCTCGCAGCACACCAGTTGGTTGGGAAGACGCGTGAGCCTCACAATGTTGTGTCAGACAGTTGGCCCAGGCCGTGACAGTTAGGCCTAGGCACACATACACAAAGCAGGGCCAATACATTGGGAAGCAGGCCTTCGGCCTTGGCAAAAGTAGTAGTGTCGACGCACCTGCCTCGGAGCCCTGCACAGATGCAGCAAACAGCCCAAGTCCGGAGACTCAGGCCAAGCCTTACCGCAAAGGGCCCAGGCCCTCAACTGTAGTCTCGGGCCTGGGCGCAGGGTCCAGGACCCAACCAGAAGCTACTGGAAGCTTCCAGCCAGGCCACATGCAGCATCCAGGAGTCTGCCACTGCCACAAAAGGAATGAGGCAGCCCAGGCCAGGCATTATGGCCAGTGCTGGCAATGCAGAAGTGTTGTTGTGCTCTCGCTTGATGTTGCGCTGCTGCCAAGGGCGCTGACGGGGCGCGAGAGGTGTAGTGGGGGCGCTGCAGGGCAGCAGGGCGCAGGCAGCCATAGCCGAGCTGCTGGGCGCCAGGGGGTACAACGGATGATCAGGTGGTCTTCAGGGAAGGAGGCGCTGTGTGGGGTGATCAAGGTCTGATTGAGGGTGACGAGAAACGAACCTGGTACAAGAAGAGAGGTCGGCGATGGTGTTGGCAGTCATGTACATTGGTCTTCGTGAGTCGAAGTGATCCTGTTGCGTGAACCAGCTATAGGTAGGATAGTCGGGTAGAGTAGGCTGGGCGTTGAGCGCCAGACAGAGCAGAGCGACTTTGGATACTGTGTTGGTGTGGCCTACGGGCGTGAACATTGGCTCATTACTTCATTGTATTGCTCTATATGGATGGTTTTCTCGGTGCATTTGTACGCTCTGCTTGAGACACGACTACTTAGACAGCTGTGTGATTTCACAATTTCGTTTTATGTATATCGCTCACTCTCATATTCCTTGCATAACAATAACAAGTGGGCCCGCCGCGGCTCCGCTCGCGGCAAAAAGAGCAGAGATTGTGAGGTTCGAGTACGTAGAAATTCAGTATTTGATATGGATGGCAAAAACGAAAGATGTTTTTCCGTGTTACCTATTGTGTCAGTTCTACCAATTGGCTCTTTCTTTTTTTCTCTCTCTCTCTCTCTCTCTCTCTCTCTCTCTCTCTCTCTCTCTCTCTCTCTCTCTCTCTCTCTCTCTCTCTCTCTCTTCCTGACTTCCTCCTCCCCATCCCAACCCTCCGATCCTCTCTCCCCATCCCGACCTCCTCCCTTCGCTATCCCGACCCCCTTTGCCCTTGTCGCCACGATCCCGACAACTTCTCGATCTCGACTTCCCCTTCCGCTATCCCGACGTCGTCGGTCTTCGGGTTGCGCCCATCCCGCATCCCCACTTCCCCCTCCCCATCCCGACCCCCCGATCCGCTCTCCCCATCCGGACCTCCTCCCCTCGCTATCCCGACCTCCGGACCTGTCCCTCCCCATCCCGACTCCGTTGCCCCCTTTGCCCTTGTCGCCCCCATCCCAACAACTTCTCGATCCCGACTTCCCCTTCCACTATCGCGACGTCATCGGTCTCCGGGCTGCGCCCATCCTGCATCCCAACTTCCCCCTCCCCATTCCGATTCTCCGACCCCTCCTCCCCATCCCGAATCCAGACTCTCTCACGCATCCCGACTTCCCCCTCCCCATCCCGACCCTCCGACCCTCTCTTGCGTCCATCCCGCATCCCGACTTCCCCCTCCCCATCCCGACTCTCCGACCCCCTCTCCCCATCCCGACTTCGTCCTCTCTTTCCATCCCGACTTCCCCTTCCCCTATCCCAGCGTCGTCCGTCTTCCGACCGGAATCCAGACTCCCCCTCGCATCCCGACTTCCCCATCCCGACAACTTCTCGATCCCGACTTCCCCCTCCGCTATCCCGACGTCGTCGGTCTTCGGGTTGCGCCCATCCCGCATCCCGACTTCCCCCTCCGCATTCCGACTCTCCGACCCCTACTCCCCCCCGCATCCCGACTTCCCCCTCCCCATCCCGACCCTCCGACCCTCTCTTGCGTCGATCCCGCATCCCGACTCCCCCCTCCCCATCCCGACTCTCTGACCCCCTCTCCCCATCCCGACTTCCTCCTCTCTTTCCGTCCCGACTTCAACTTCCCCTTCCCCTATCCCAGTGTCGTCCGTCTTCCGACGCGAATCCAGACTCCCCCCCGCATCCCGATTTCCCCCTTCCCATCCTGACCCTCCGACCCTCTCTCCCCATCCCCATCCCGACTTCCTCCCCTCCCTATCCCGACCTCCGGACATCCCAACTTCGTTGCCCCCTTTGGCCATCCTGATTTCCATCCCGGTTTCTCCCCTCCTCTATCCCGACCTCCTCGCCTCCATCCCGCCAACTTTTCGATCGCGACTTCCCAACGTCGTCGGGCTTTGGGTTGCGTCCATCCCGCATCCCGACTTCTCCCTCCCCATCCCGACCCTCCGACCCTCTCTCCCCATCCCGATTTCCTCCCCTCCCTATCCCGACCTCCGGACGCGTCCCTCCCCATCCCGACTTCGTTAACCCCTTTGCCCATCCCGACTTCCATCCCGGCTTCTCCCCTCCTCTATCCCGACCTCTTCGCCCCCATCCTGACAACTTTTCAATCCCGACTTCCCCTTCCCCTATCCCAACAAAAT